TTGAACCCAGGCCGTATTTCAGCCCAGTCTAAATAATCTCAGTCCATTTTATCCCAGTCTGTAGGATCCCAGTCAATATTTGATCCCAGTCCATATTTTACCCCAGTCACATATTTGATCCCAGTCCTGATTTGATCCCAATCCATATTTAATCCCGGGTCCTATTTGATCCCAGTCACATATTTGCTCCCAGTCCAAAGTTGATCCCAGTCCTGATTTGATCCCAGTCTAAATAATCTCAGTCAAATTTATCCCAGTCTATACAATCCCAGTAATATTAGATCCCAGTCCATAGTTTATCAAAGTCCATATTTGATCTTAGTCAATATTTGATCCCACTCCATATTTGATCCCAGTCCCTAACTGATCCCACTCCACTAATCCCAGTCCTCATCGCCCTGCACACATTCCAAAAGTCTGGAATTCCAGCTCCCAGACAGGAAAAGATGTTCCCGACCTTGAAGGCAAATGCAGCAAAATCCTCCAGAGACATTTCCCTGCCAGCCCTCAGGATTTCAGCTCCTGGGAATTAAAATATTAACCAAGAAATGTAATAATAAATAATCAGGGGAGGGTCGGTGGGGAGAGAGGGGTAAATTAAATCAGGGGAGGGGTCAATTAAATCAGGGCAGGATCAATTAAATCAGGCAAGGGGTCAATTAAATCAGGGCAGGATGAATTAAATCAGGGGAGGGGTCAATTAAATCAGGGCAGGGGTCAATAAAATCAGGCAAGGGGTCAATTAAACCGGGGCAGAATCAATTAAATCAGGGCAGGGTCTCTGGTGGTCCCAGGGTCAAGGGAGACACTGAGAGAGAAACAGAGCAGGCAAAGAGAGGCAGGAGAGAAAAGGGGACACGAACACAATGAGCTGAGCAGGCGGCACTGTGCAAACAGAACTGCAACGGACTGAACATGAACGGGAGAGAAATCTGTAACTCTGAGAGTTTTATTTGCTATCAAATACACCCCACACGCCCAGCCCCACACAATCCCCACCCCACCGCTCTAATTGAGATCCCACTACTGTCAATCACAGGCTGGCTGTAGAATCGAGGAAAATTCGTATGGCATGGAGTTTTTCTCAGGAGGGATTGAGCATTCTGGGGCAAGCCTGAGCTGTTTTCACTGGGATTTGAGTCGTTTTGAGGTGACAGATTCATCTCTCTTGGCTTCTGGACTGCAAAGAGATCGAGAAGAGTAAAAAATTAGGGTGAAATTAAAAGGAGAAGCAGCCAGGTGTGTTCCCAGCATGGATCACAGGGAATGTGAGCGACCAGGGCTGTGCCCAAAGTGCCTCCTCCGGTGGGGGATGGAGCTGGAGCAGCGCACGAAGCTCTGCCCGCACTCGGGGCACTCGCAGTGCTTCCCTTAGTGGTGCCTCCGTTGGTGTCGGGTCAAGTTAGAGCTGCTGGAGAAGCTCTTCCCACACTGGGGACACTCGTAGGGCCTCTCCCCGGTGTGGATGCGCCGGTGGGTGACGAGGGAGGAGCTGTGTTGAATCCCTTCCCACAGTCGGGGCATTGGAACGGCCTCTCCTCTGAGTGAATCCGATAGTGCAGGAGGAGATCAGAGCTGGTCCGAAACCTCTTCCTGCATTTATCACACTCGTAGGGCCTCTCCCCTGTGTGGATCCTCTGGTGGTTGATCAGGTCCGATCTCCATCTGAAGCTCTTCCCACACTCCCCACACTCATAGGGCTTCTCCCCAGTGTGAATCCTCTGGTGCCTGATCAGGTCGCTGTTCCACCTGAAGCTCTTCCCACACTCCCCGCACGTGTGGGGCTTCTCCCCATCACGGAGCTGCTCACGGAGCACCAGCTCCAAGTCCCACTGTTCCCGGTTTTTGGGGTCCTAAATTCCCCCAAACTCCCCCAAGTTTTGGGGTCCCAGTGTCCATTTTTGGGGGTTTTCGTGCCCGTTTTTGGGGCGCCCCGTGCCCATTTTTGTGGTCCCTCCATTCCCATTTTTTGGGATCCCAAGTTCCCCAAAGCTCTCACAAATTTTGGGTTCCCTGTGCCCATTTTTGGTCTGCCTGTGTCCATTTTTGGGGTCCCTCCATTCCCAGATTTTGGGTCGCTAATTCCCCCAAATTTCGGGATCGCAGTGCCCGTTTTTGGGGTGTCCCGTGCCCGTTTTTGGGGTGTCCCGTGCCCGTTTTTGGGGTGTCCCGTACCCTGCTCCAGCGCCAGCCCCAGCGTGACCCGCCCGGTTCTGCCGGTGGCTCCGAAGATCGCGATCTTCATCCCCGGTGCCGTGAATCGAACCGGACTGAACCGAACCGGACTGAATCGAACCGAACCGAACCGGATCGAACCGAACCGAACCGAACCGGACTGAATTCGACCGGACCGAACCGAACCGGATCGAACCAGGAACGGGATCAAGATCGGGATCCGGGATCGGGATCCGGGATCGGGACCGAGACTCGAACCGGGACCGCGATCGGGACCGGAACCGAGACTGAAACCGGGATTCGAGATCGGGATCGGGAACTCCGCGATGGCTCCGAGGAGTTTTGGGAGGGAACTGGGAGGGAAGTGGGAGGGACTGGGAGGGACTGGGCGGGGCGGGACGGCCTCCGTTCGCTCGGTTCCGGTGCAGCCGCCCCTGTCGGGATGGTCCCGGTCCATATTTGAGCCCAGTCCGTATTCGATCCCAGTCTATATAATCTCAGTCCAGTTTATCCCAGTCTGTACAGTCCGAGTCCATTCGATCCCAGTCCATATCTGATCCCACTCCACATTTGATCCAAGTCCATCTTTGATCTTAGTCTATATAATTTCAGTCCAGTTTACCCAGTTAGGATTATCCCATTCTGTATTTGATCCCACTTCGTATTTCATCCCATTCCATATTTGTTCCCAATCCATATTTAATCCCAGTCCATATTTGATCCCAGTCCTTATTTGATTCCAGTCCATATTTGATCCCAGTCGTAATTTCATCCCAGCCCAGTCTATCCCAGTCCATAGTTGATCTTAGTCCATATTTGATCTCAATCCATTTTTTATCCCAATTCATATTTGATCCCAGTCTAAATAATCTCCATCCAGTTTCTCGCAGTGTTTACAATCCCAGTAAATATTTGATCCCAGCCCATATTTCATGCCATTCCATATTTGTTCCCAATCCATATTAAATCTCAGTTCCTATTTGATCCCAGTCCATATTTCATCCCAGTCTAAATAATCTCAGTCAAGTTTATCCCAGTCTATACAATCCCAGTCCATATTTGATCCCAGTCCATATGTGATCCCAGTCCATATAATCTCAGTCCAGTTTATCCCAGTCAGGACGATCCCAGTCCATAGAATCCCAGTCCATATTTGATTCCAGTCTGAATAATCTCAGTCCATTTTATCCCACTCTTCACAATCCCAGTCCGAATTTGATCCCAGTCCATATTTTACCCCAGTTCCATATTTGATCCCAGTCCTGATTTGATCCCAATCCATATTTAATCCCACTCCATATTTGATGCCAATCTATATTTAATCCCAGTTCTTATTTGATCCCATTCCATATTTAATCCCAGTCCATAGTTTATCCCAGTCCCTATTTCATCCCAGTCCATATTTGATCCCAGTCCAAAGCTGATCCCAATGCAAAGTTGATCCCATTCTAAATAATCTGTCCAGTTTATCCCAGTCTATACAATCCCAGTCAATATTAGATCCCAGTCCTGGGTTTATCTAAGTCCATATTTGATCTTAGTCAATATTTGATCCCAATCTATTTGATCCCAGTCCATATTTCATCCCAGTCCATAAGATCCCAGGCCATAATTGATCCCAGTCCATATTTCATCCCAGTCCATATTTGATCCCAGTCCATAAGATCCCAGGCCATATTTGATCCCAATCCATATTTGACCCCAGTCCATTTTTTATCCCAATTCATATTTGATCCCAGACCATATTTGAGCCCAGTCCATATTTGATCCAAATCTATTTAATCCCACTCCCTAATTGATCCCACTCCATATTTGATTCCAAACCTTATTTAATCCAAGTCCACATTTAATCCCAGTCCATATTTAATCCCAGTCCCTAATTGATCTCACTCCATATTTAATCCCAGTCCACATTTGATCCCAGTCCATATTTAATCCCAGTCCCTAACTGATCTCACTCCATATTTAATCCCAGTCATTATCGCTCTGCATACATTCCAAAAGTCTGGAATTCCAGCTCCCAACCTTGAAGGCAAATGGAGCAAAATCCTACAGAGACATTTCCCTGCCAGCCCTCAGGACTTCAGCTCCTGGGACTGGGAATTAAAATATTAACCAGGAAATATAATAATAAAAAATCAGGGGAGGGTCGGTGGGGACAGAGGGGTCAATGAAATCAGGCAAGGGGTCAATAAAATCAGGCAAGGGGTCAATTAAATCAGGTAAGGGGTCAATTAAATCAGGGCAGGGTCTCTGGTGGTCCCAGGGTCAAGGGAGACACTGAGAGAGAAACAGAGCAGGCAAAGAGAGGCAGGAGAGAAAAGGGGACACGAACACAATGAGCTGAGCAGGCGGCACTGTGCAAACAGAACTGCAATGGACTGAACACGAACGGGAGAGAAATCTGTAACTCTGAGAGTTTTATTTGCTATCAAATACACCCCACACACCCAGCCCCACACAATCCCCACCCCACCGCTCTAATTGAGATCCCACTACTGTCAATCACAGGCTGGCTGTAGAATCGAGGAAAATTTGTACGGCATGGAGTTTTTCTCAGGAGAGATTGAGCATTCTGGGGCAAGACTGAGCTGTTTTCACTGGGATTTGAGTCGTTTTGAGGTGACAGATTCATCTCTCTTGGCTTCTGGACTGCAAAGAGATCGAGAAGAGAAAAAAATTAGGGTGATATTAAAAGGAGAAGCAGCCAGGTGTGTTCCCAGCATGGATCACAGGGAATGTGAGCGACCAGGGCTGTGCCCAAAGTGCCTCCTCCGGTGGGGGATGGAGCTGGAGCAGCGCACGAAGCTCTGCCCGCACTCGGGGCACTCGCAGTGCTTCCCTTAGTGGTGCCTCCGTTGGTGTCGGGTCAACATAGAGCTCTGTGAGAAGCTCTTCCCACACTGGGGACACTCGTAGGGCCTCTCCCCGGTGTGGATGCGCCGGTGGGTGACGAGGATGGAGTTGTACTTGAATCCCTTCCCACAGTCGGGGCAGCGGAAGGGCCTCTCCTCTGAGTGAATCCGATAGTGCTGGAGGAGATGAGAGCTGGTCCGAAACCTCTTCCTGCATTTATCACACTCGTAGGGCCTCTCCCCAGTGTGGATGCGCCGGTGGGTGACGAGGCTGGAGTTGTGCTTGAATCCTTTCCCACAGTCGGGGCATTGGAAGGGCCTCTCCTCTCTGTGAATCCAATAGTGCTTGAGGAGATCAGAACTGCACTGAAACGCCTTCCCACACTTGGAACACTTGTAGGGCCTCTCCCCAGTGTGAGTCTTCTGGTGCCTGATCAGGCTGGAGCGCTGGCTGAAGCTCTTCCCACACTCCCCACACTCGTAGGGCCTCTCCCCAGTGTGAATCCTCTGGTGTTCGATCAGGTCGCTGTTCCACCTGAAGCTCTTCCCACACTCCCCGCACGTGTGGGGCTTCTCCCCATCACGGAGCTGCTCACGGAGCACCAGCTCCGAGCTCTGGCTCCATCTCCGGCCGCCTTCCCGGCCCAGGCCGCCTCTTTCCCCCTCACATCCCCGCCAGCTGCCTTTGCAGCCCCTCCTCGTGCGGCATCTCCGCGCCTTTTCCTCCCCGTTGCCTTCCTGCGCCGTGGAGCCGCTCAAAACGGCCTCTTCCACCAGCTCCTGCCGCGGGCATTTCTCCTCCCTGCTCTCCATGCTCAGCTCCTGCTCTGCGGGAGGAAGGACAAGGACACCATGCGATTTGCCTCCGTGCCACAGCCGAGGGCAACGAGATCCCCCCAGGGCGTCCCAGTGTCCATTTTTGGGGGTGCCCGTGCCCGTTTTTGGGGTGCCCCGTGCCCATTTTTGTGGTCCCTCCATTCCCATTTTTTGGGGTCCCAAGTTCCCCCAAGTTCACACACATTTTAGGTTCCCTGTGCCCATTTTTGGGCTGCCTGTGTCCATTTCTGGGGTCCCTCCTTTCCCGAATTTGGGGTCCCAAATTCCCCCAATTTTCGGGATCCCAGTGCCCGTTTTGGGGTGTCCCGTGCCCGTTTTTGGGGTGTCCCGTACCCTGCTCCAGCGCCAGCCCCAGCCTGACCCGCCCGGTTCTGCCGGTGGCTCCGAAGATCGCGATCTTCATCCCGGGTGCCATGAACCGAACCGGACTGTACCGGACCAGACAGAAACGGATCGAACGGAACCGAACCGGATCGAACCGAACCGGATCGAACCAGGAACGGAATCGAGATCGGGATCCGGGATCGGGATTTGGGATCGGGACCGAGACTCGAACCGGGACCGCGATCGGGACCGGAACCGAGACTGAAACCGGGATTCGAGATCGGGATCGGCACCGGGAGCTCCTCGATGGCTCCGAGGAGTTTTGGGAGGGAACTGGGAGGGAAGTGGGAGGGACTGGGGGTAACTGGGAGGAACGGGGAGGGACGGGGAGGAACAGGGAGGGACTGGGCGGGCGGGACGGCCTCGGTTCGCTCGGTTCCGGAGCAGCCGCCCCTGTCGGGATGGTCCCGGTCCATATTTGAGCCCAGTCCGTATTTGATCCCAGTCTATTTGATCCCAGACCACATTTGATCCCACTCCATATTTAATCCCAGTCCCTAACTGATCTCACTCCATATCTAATCCCAGTCCTTATCGCCCTGCACACATTCCAAAAGTCTGGAATTCCAACTCCCAGCCAGTAAAAGATGTTGTGGGCCTTGAAGGCAAATGGAGCAAAATCCTACAGAGACATTTCCCTGCCAGCCCTCAGGACGTCAGCTCCTGGGACTGGGAATTAAAATAATAATCGGGAAATGAAATAAAAAACAATCAGGGGAGGGTAGGTGGGGACAGAGGGGTCAATTAAATGAGGCCAGGATCAATTAAATCAGGCAAGGGGTCAATTAAATCAGGGCAGGGGTCAATTAAATCAGGGCAGGTGCCAATTAAATCAGGCAAGGGGTCAATTAAATCAGGGCAAGGGTCAATTAAATCAGGGCAGGTTTCAATGAAATCAGGCAAGGGGCCAATTAAATCAGGGCAGGGTCTCTGGTGGTCCCAGGGTCAAGGGAGACACTGAGAGAGAAACAGAGCAGGCAAAGAGAGGCAGGAGAGAAAAGGGGACACGAACACAATGAGCTGAGCAGGCGGCACTGTGCAAACAGAACTGCAACGGACTGAACATGAACGGGAGAGAAATCTGTAACTCTGAGAGTTTTATTTGCTATCAAATACATCCCACACGCCCAGCCCCACACAATCCCCACCCCACCGCTCTAATTGAGATCCCACTACTGTCAATCACAGGCTGGCTGTAGAATCGAGGAAAATTCGTATGGCATGGAGTTTTTCTCAGGAGGGATTGAGCATTCTGGGGCAAGACTGAGCTGTTTTCACTGGGATTTGAGACATTTTGAGGTGACAGATTCATCTCTCTTGGCTTCTGGAGTGCAAAGAGATCGAGAAGAGAAAAATATTAAGGTGATATTAAATGGAGAACCAGCCAGATGTGTTGCCAACATGGATCACAGGGAATGTCAGTGACCAGGGCTGTGCCCAAAGTGCCTCCTCCGGTGGGGGATGGAGCTGGAGCAGCGCACGAAGCTCTGCCCGCACTCGGGGCACTCGCAGCGCTTCCCTTACCGGTGCGTCCGTTGGTGTTGGGTCAAGTTAGAGCTGCTGGAGAAGCTCTTCCGACACTGGAGACACTCGTAGGGCCTCTCCCCAGTGTGGATGCGACAGTGGGTGACGAGGATGGAGTTGTACTTGAATCCCTTCCCGCAGTCGGGGCAGCGGAAGGGCCTCTCCTCTGTGTGAATCCGATAGTGGTAGAGGAGCTGATAGCTGGTCCGAAATCTCTTCCTGCATTTATCACACTCGTAGGGCCTCTCCCCAGTGTGGATGCGCTGGTGGGTGATGAGGTGGGACTTCTTCTTGTATCCCTTCCCACAGTCGGGGCATTGGAAGGGCCGCTCCTCTCTGTGAATCCAATAGTGCTGGAGGAGATTAGAGCTGCTCTGAAACGCCTTCCCACACAGGGAACACTTGTAGGGCCTCTCCCCAGTGTGAGTCATCTGGTGCCTGATCAGGCTGGCCCTCTGGCTGAAGCTCTTCCCACACTCCCCACACTCGTAGGGCTTCTCCCCACTGTGGATCCTCTGGTGCCTGATCAGTTCGGAGTTCCACCTGAAGCTCTTCCCACACTCCCCGCACGTGTGCGGCTTCTCCCCATCACGGAGCTGCTCACGGAGCACCAGCTCCGAGCTCTGGCTCCATCTCCGGCCGCCTTCCCGGCCCAGGCCGCCTCTTTCCCCCTCACATCCCCGCCAGCTGCCTTTGCAGCCCCTCCTCGTGCGGCATCTCCGCGCCTTTTCCTCCCCGTTGCCTTCCTGCGCCGTGGAGCCGCTCAAAACGGCCTCTTCCACCAGCTCCTGCCGCGGGCATTTCTCCTCCCTGCTCTCCATGCTCAGCTCCTGCTCTGGGCGAGGAAGGACAAGGACACCATGCGATTTGCCTCCGTGCCACAGCCGAGGGCAACGAGATCCCCCCGGGGCGTCCCCGGCAGGACGGCACCGCCACCCCCCGATGTCCCCCCGAGGGGCCTTTTCCGCTCAGCCTTGGACTTCTTCATTCTCCAAACATCCCCCCAAAAACCCAACCCAGGGACCCCCCGGGATATCAGAGCCGGGCTCCCCCTCCCTGCTCACAGGCGCGATGCGGGGGCGATGATCCCACAGGTGGGGGCTGCGAATTCAGGCACGGTCGACCGCGTGGATCCGTCCGCTCAGCCTTGATCCGCCTTTGTCCCTCCTCTTCCTCTTCCTCTTCCTCCCGCTCCTCCTCTTCCTTTCCCCCTTCCGCTCCTCAGCCTTAACTCCGCCTTCTTCTCCTCTTCCATCCCGCCGCTTCCATCGCTTCTCCTCCTCCTGCTCCCTAACCCCACCTTCTTCTTCTCCTCCCATCGCTGCTCTCTTTCCGCCTTCATCCGTCCTCTTCCATTTCTGCTTGCCCTGCTCCTCTGCCCAAACCGGCTCCAACCGTGAGGGGAAAGGGGGCGGGGAAAGGGCGGGAACCGTGAGGGGAAAGGGGGCAGGGAAAGGGCGGGAACCGTGAGGGGAAAGGGGCGGGCTCAGGCCAAGGGCGGTAACTGTGAGGGGACACTCTGGGAGGCGGCACTCTGCGAACAGAACTGCAACGGTCTGAACATGAACGGAAAAGAAAGTTGTAAGTCGCAGAATTTTATTTGCTGTCAAATACATGTTGCTCAGCCAGCCCATAACAATCCACATCCCTGAGGTTGAGCAGCGCACGAAGCTCTGCCCGAACTCGGGGCACTCGCTGGGCTTCCCTGACTGGTGCCTTCGTTGTTATCAGGTCAAATTAGAGCACTGTGAGAAGCTCTTCCCACACTGGGGACACTCGTAGGGCCTCTCCGCTGTGAGGATGCGCTGGTGGGTGATCAGGTGGGACTTCTGCCTGAATCCCTTCCCACGCTCAGGGCATTGGAAGGGTCTCTCCTCTCTGTGAATCCAATAGTCCTTTAGGAGATGGGTGCTGGTCAGAAACCTCTTCCTGCATTTGTCACACTCGAAGGGCCTCTCCCCTGTGTGGCTCCTCTGGTGCTTGTTCCGGTCAGAGCTCTGGCTGAAGCGCTTCCCACACACAGAACACTCGAAAGGCTTTTGCCCAGTGTGGATCCTCTGGTGCAGGATCAGGTGGGAGCTCTTAATGAAGCTCTTCCCACATTCCCCACACTTGTAGGGCCGTTCCCCAGTGTGGATCCTCTGGTGGTTGACCAGGTCCGGACTCCATCTGAAGCTCTTCCCACACTCCCCACACGTGTGGGGCTTCTCCCCAGTGTGGGGCCTCTGGTGCTGGATCAGGTTGCATTTTCTCCTGAAGCTCTTCCCACACTCCCCGCACGTGTGGGGCTTCTCCCCATCACGGAGCTGCTCACGGAGCACCAGCTCCAAGTCCCACTGTTCCCGGTGTTTGGGGTCCCAAATTCCCCCAAACTCCCCCAAGTTTTGGGGTCCCAGTGTCCATTTTTGGGGGTGCCCGTGCCCGTTTTTGGGGTGCCCCGTGCCCATTTTTGTGGTCCCTCCATTCCCATTTTTTTGGGTCCCAAGTTCCCCCAAGTTCTCACAAATTTCGGGCTCTCTGTGCCCATTTTTGGGCTGCCTGTGTCCATTTTTGGGCTCCGTCCATTCCCGAATTTGGGGTCCCAAATTCCCCCAATTTTCGGGATCCTAGTGCCCATTTTTGGGGTGTCCCGTGCCCGTTTTTGGGGTGTCCCATGCCCGTTTTTGGGGTGTCCCGTACCCTGCTCCAGCGCACGCCCCAGCGCGACCCGCCCGGTTCTGCCGGTGGCTCCGAAGATCGCGATCTTCATCCCCGGTGCCGTGAATCGAACCGAACCGGACCGAACCGCACCGAACCGAACCGGACGAAATCGAACCGAACCGAACCGAACCGGACTGAATCGAACCGAACCGGACCGAAGCGAACCGATCCGGACTGAATCGAACGGAACCGAACCGAACCGAACCGAACCGGATCGAACCAGGAACGGGATCAAGATCGGGATCCGGGATCGGGATTTGGGATCGGGACCGAGACTCGAACCGGAACCGCGATCGGGACCGGATCCGAGACTGAAACCGGGATTCGAGATCGGGATCGGGATCGGCACCGGGAGCTCCGCGATGGCTCCGAGGAGTTTTGGGAGGGAACTGGGAGGAACTGGGAGGAACTGGGAGGGACTGGGAGGAACTGGGAGGGACTGGTGGTTCGCTCGGTTCCGGTGCCGCCGCCCCTGTCGGGATGGTCCCGGTCCATATTTGATCCCAGTCCATATTTGAACCCAGGCCGTATTTCAGCCCCGTCTAAATAATCTCAGTCCATTTTATCCCAGTCTATACAAACCCAGTCAATATTAGATCCCAGTCCATAGTATATCTAAGCCCATATTTGATCTTAGTCAATATTTGATCCCAATCTATTTGATCTCAGTCCATATTTCATCCCAGTCCATAAGATCCCAGGCCATAATTGATCCCAGTCCATATTTCATCCCAGTCCATATTTGATCCCAGTCCATAAGATCCCAGGCCATATTTGATCCCAATCCATGATTGA